TGGTTCAAGCGAGGAGCAAGGAAACGACAAATAAGAGACTTGAGAAGCACCCTTAGAGTCAGTATGAACCAATCAGACGTCTCTTTCTCTCCCTTTGTCTCTCTTCCAGCACAAGCACTTCACAGAGGACATTCAGACCAGACAGTACAGAGCTCTGGAGGTTCTGATTGGAGCAGAGTACGGACCACCTGCTGACATCTGGAGCACCGCCTGCATGGTACACACACACACTGCAGGTCTTGGTATCAGTAGACCCGTACTGTCGGCGTTTGTGTATTGATGTATTGATTGATGTTCCAGGCCTTTGAGTTGGCGACAGGAGATTACCTCTTTGAACCTCATTCAGGAGAAGATTACACCAGAGACGAAGGTACTACACATAATACTCATACTTTAAACATTACTGAAGTCTTATCGGACTACACTAGTATTACACTCAGCATAAAGGTACAACTCATAACAAACAGTACTGCTGTGTACTAGCGAGTACTTCAGTGTGTATTTTTATTATTTGTGTGCAGATCACATCGCTCACGTCATCGAGCTGCTCGGACCGATTCCTCTGCCCTTCGCTTTGTCTGGCAGGTACTCCAGAGAGTACTTCGACAGGAGAGGTGAGACAGTCTGTTTGTGTGCTCCCGTCTCACCTGTGTGCTCCCGTCTCACCTGTGTGCTCCCGTCTCAGGTGAGCTGCGTCACATCTCCAGCTTGAAGCCGTGGGGTCTGTTTGAGGTTCTGTTGGAGAAGTACGAGTGGCCTCTGGACCAGGCGGCTCAGTTCAGCGACTTCCTGTTGACCATGTTGGAGCTGCAGCCGGAACGCAGAGCGACTGCAGCTCAATGTCTGCAGCACCCATGGCTGCTCACATAGACACTCACTGATACACACAATGAACTACACACTGATGTACACACAGACACTTACTGATGAGGTTATAAATCTGTCAGTTGATTTCATGTGAAGAGGGAAGTTATCGCCTCGACTGAGATTTAAATGTTTTATTTGGTAAGTTATCCTGACAATCACTCGATGGATCTATGGATATAGCGTCGGGTGTAACTTCCCTTCTTCTGAAATCAGTTTCTGAAAGTGTTTCTGTTGTAACTGATTTCCTGAGTTCTGGTTCTGATCTTTGGTTCTGTGTCTTTGTTTTAGATTCGACTGATTTTCTGCCTCAAAGTTTCCATGTGAATTCTGCTGTTTGTTGAATTGTGCCGAGTTTGTATTTTACAGACGGCCTCTTATTGTCTATTGATCAGAGACTCCCTGATGATGAAGACTTTAGAAGGTTTAGATGAGCACACCGTAGCTTCCGTAGAGCAGCCAACCTTCTCACTGACGGTTGGTATCGTTTGTATTGACAGTATTGATCCCTGTAGCTCAAACCTCACCTGTTTCTATGTTCATGTAATAAATAGTGCCTTAAAATGACCCCGGAACCCCCTCTTCCTGTCAGTGACATCACCAGACATTAATGTTTTATATTTCTTTGTTTGGACTATTTCTTCTTGTGAAAATAAAGATGAAAGCTGGTCTGAGATGTTTGCTTTGACCTCTCACCTCTACCATGACTTCAGTATTAAAATGATCGTGCATCACTTGATGTTGAAGGGGGGGGGGGGCACATATCCGTAGTAAAAGGGAAGTCTAGAACCGTAAATTACATTTATAGGACCACAATAACAAAAAAAATCCTGTTTTTACCCATTTTTGAAACAACAGAAGCCGTGAATGAAACGCTGACATTTAATATACAGCCCTCGTACGATGTGATGTCAGTGTGACGTGACGTCATAATGTAGGAGTACAGTCAGATTATCGAGTGACGTCGCCCAGGACACAGTGAAGTCAACAGGTTTAATATAAAAACACGAGTGAGTCGGTGCGATGAAGCTTTCTCCTTCAGATCCAGACTGCAGCAGAAGAACACCGGCACTGTGCACACCGTCACACACGGACCCGTCCACAATGTGCAATGTCAGCTGATTCTGAGTTCAACAGTTCATACTGCGCTACGTGTTCCTCTTCACTTCTTCTTACGCACAACCGTCCACCCGGCCTCTTCATCACGAGGAGGAGGAGGATCTCTGCTGCTGACTGATGGAACGGAGGATTCACACTCCATCACCTGAACACACAAACATTCATTACTGTAAGATACAAACTCCTGATTTATGTGACCGTCATTTACAAAAGAATGATCTGCAACGTAGTGAAGAATAGAAACTAAGTAAAGTACTTTGTTCATTTACACCAGCGACAGAGTTTTATATGAACAGACTTTAAAAGGATGACGAGGTGTAATATTTAGTAAGCAAACGGTAAACATTTAAAAAAAAGGAACAAAACATGTAAGAGCGAAAACAATTAGTCAACAAAATAAAGGAAAGAAAACTACTACTTTGAAAATCTGTTCTAATTAATTTTTTCAAATAAAAACATGAAAGAAAATCCCGTTTCTGGATGCATCTTCAGTTTTTCATACTTATTTAGCATCACACTATGACATCACACTATACCAGTGGTGGGCCGTCAGGGCCTGCAAGGCCTTCTCTGTTGGCCTAAACAGAATCACAAAATTATATTTAATAATGTTTCTGAAATACACTACATGTATTATAATTTATGAAAATATGTTTCCCATTATCTTATGTTCTCATTGCAGAGCTCCTGTCTTCCTCAGTTGCTCTGCTTCCAGTGCAGCTTGTTTTAAGTAGAGCTTTTATCCAATCAGATCTCACCTCTGTGTCTCTAGGTAAGAACAGAGGCCTGCAGACTCACAAGTGAATCCATGTGCAGTTTAAGTGAATGGGGACGATATTGTTGATTGTCATAGTGTTCAACCAATCAGAGCTTTAGTTTGACATGTTGGGCGTATTCTTTGACGTGTCAGTGGTACCCAGGTAGCCTCTAAGTACGTCTGCATTAACGTGCGCCGTGATTGGTCAGTGGGCCAGCGTGACTTTTGTCAAACAGAAAGCTAGCTAGCAGATCTTAGTGTTTAGTAAGAGTTCAGGTTGAAACATATGGAAGAGAAGTTATGACATTTTTAGTGTTTTGCTTGCTGTAGATTGTTTTTTTTTAACCTCGCTTTGTTTTTTAACTTCAATGGCTGAAGGAGGAGAAACAGATTTGTGAGTTACGAACTTTGTTAAAGAAAGGAGGATGGAATTTGTCTTTAAGTGAAGGCAGCTGTGGTAAGTGAACTGCTTTTGTGTTTTTACATCTGCTGTAGCGTTTCTACTGTGTTCATATGTCTATCGTGTCGTTTCTATGAATAATATAATATGAACAATATGAATAGCTCGTGCTCTAGTGCTGCAGGTCTGCTGGATTGATTTGTTGCCATATGAATATATGTGACTGGTTCTTGTGAGTTTGTTCTTGTCATTGTGTTAATTACATTCTGACTTGTCCATTAATGACGAAGCATCCTGTCATCGCGGGGTTATTTCGGACATTTGATTCTCTGAGGTTTTGTTTTCTTTAACAAAGCAGGAATGATGGTTTGGAGGAATGGGGATTGTTTGAATCAGTAGGAACAGCTGAACGCTGTGGGGAGAGTAAAATGCACGGCCCAATACTATGACAGAGTATCAGGTAAGACGTACCTGTGTTTCATCACCGCTGTCTTCATCAGAGTGTGTGGGCGGAGCTGTGACCCTCTGACTCTTCTTCTGTGTCAGAGTGTTGATGGTTTGTTGGAGCTGCTCTAGCGCCCCCTGCTGCCACTGACTGAAGGCCTGGACCAGACTGTCACACACCTGGAAACACAGGTTTCACATCATGATTTACACCTTTCAGATGTGTTGAAGCTGCATTCTCTCTAGTGTCCACCAGGGGGCGACTCCTCTGGTTGTATAGAAGTCTATGAGAAAATGACTACTTCTCTCTTGATTTATGACCTCAGTAAACATTGTAAACATGAGTTTATGGTCTCAGTCTCTAGATTCAAGTCTTCTTCAATACAGCATGATGTTCATTTAGTACATTATGGTCCATTTAGAGTCAAACAGACCATAAAGCAGGGGCTACACAGTGATTGACAGGTCGACACCACGTTGAACTTTAACCCTTTCACAATGTTTTTACTTCAATGGTCTCATTCAGAGTTCATCCTGTGTGTGTGTGTGTGTGTGTGTGTGTACCTGCGGTAAACTCCCATCATCCACCACTGTGTCAAACTCTTGATCCATCAGTTCAGCAATGAAGTCCTCCACCTCGCACTGCTGCAGGTCAGCTACACAGAGCGAGAGAAGTTATTATTAGTTGAAACATGAACTGATTTAACTTGTTAAACATCCAGCAGTTAAAGTTTAAAATTAGTCTTTGGGTCTTTAAACTAGACTCAAGATTAAGTCTTAAAATTAATTTCAAACGCGTTTGATATTTGGGAGTTGAACAGAGTACCCGAGCAGGTAGAGAACAGAGTACCCGAACAGGTAGAGAACAGAGTACCCGAACAGGTAGAGAACAGAGTACCCGAACAGGTAGAGAACAGGTAGTGAACAGAGTACCTGAACAGGTAGTGAACAGAGTACCTGAACAATAAACTGCTGTTGACAGGTTTCGTTACTTACCGTTGTCATGGAAATACTGCTGGACTACATCCACCATCCAATCAGCTTTCTGCTGCCCGTACACGCCTCCAAACCCGTTGTCCACCGCAATCTGAGGACACAAAAGCACACATCTGAGAGTTTGAGTCCGAGTCTGAGATAAAACCCTAGAGAGGTCCGGAGACCCTTACAGAGTTCCAGACCCCCCCAGAGCAGTGGTTCCCAAACCTTTTAGGCCACGCACCCCCTTCTACATCCCGACTGAGTTCACGCACCCCCAATCCCCCACACCTTCAAAAAAAAAAAAAAAAAAAAAAAAAAAGCAACAGAGGATAAAAATCGGCCCAATGAGAGAACAGTTTGCTTGCGCGTGGCGTTTGTTTACAAGATAAAAAACATCTTCCTGCACCGTGCCTTCGAAAAGGTAACGGACGTACACCAGAAGATTGGCCAGATTGGCCACATGTGTAGTCTCAGATTGGGACAAAGCATCTGTAGGAAATTTGGGTTTAGAAGTGTGTTTTAAGAAATTCCAATAGAAGTGTTTAATGATTCATAATTAAGAAATCATAATTAGAAGTGTTTTGGAATACATAATTAGAAGATTCATAATTGTAAGTGTTTTAGAATTTGTAGTTAGAAGTGTTTTGTAGTTAGAAGTGTATCTTAGTAGAATTTGTAGCACCTTTATATTCGTTTGTGAAACTTGTGAAGGTTTTTGCCAAAAGTTGCAAATCCTTATCTTTATATAGAAAGTTTATCGTAGGAGTGTTAAGCCATAAAAGACAGTCATTGAATGTATTAAACTGTGAAGAATAGCCAAGGGAAAGTCAGACTTCTAGACAGACATTTGCAGGTTGTACCCGCGCGAGGGTTTTCGGAAGCCTGACGCCAGGAGGAGGCAACCGAAATTAGCCAATAGGAATTAAGATGGACAAAAGGGGGGGGAGATTTCAAACTGTATGAGGAAGTGCTGGAAGGGCTATTCGCTCTCTTCTTGCTCGGCTCTCAGCGTGGAAACATCTGGGTTTTCAGGCTGAGTCGCGAGTGAATAGCTTTTCCGCGCGGATCATATTATATATTCTGTTAGTAGTGTACTTCATTCTGTAATTGTATTAGCTTCAGTAGGATTAAATACTTTTAATTGTAAACCAGTATATGGTAGATATATTAAGAAGCAACTCTACTGTAAAACAGTGGAGCGTGCTCTCCGGCCTTCTCTCGTTGGGGAAGATCTCAGGCTCCACACATCGATGCGGCGACGCAGTGTTGTTGGACACCGGGATCACGTCCAACTTGTTTGCTTCTCTCTCTCCAATCATACATTCCACCATCTCTTTGGCAGCTGGCAAGCACACGTCTTCGGCGATTGTGTGAGGTAGCCTCTTTCTTGCTATTCTGTGACCAGATATGAAGCCCGCAGTGCGTTTTATGTAGACCCAACACATGAATGAGACTGCAGTTGTTTTGGGCTGCAACTCCTCCAATTTCGATATACAAATGTAAGGGGCTTTTGACTTGCACTGGCATGCTTGGTGTTCAGGTGGCGACGTAAATAAGAGGGCTTCAGACAGCTGTTAGCCAGAACCTCACTGCACACCACGCACTGTGGCTTTGGGCAATCTGCATTGCCAATCCAAGTGAAGCCCAGACCCAGATCATTTTCATCATACTCCCTCTTCTTTCACCTTGACTCCGGGATGGGCTCTCTCTCTCTCTCTCTCTCTCTCTCTCACACCCCCTAGAGGCAGCTCCACACTTTGGGAATCCCTGCCCTAGAGAGTTCTGGACCCCCCTACAGAGGTACGGAGACCCCCACAGAGTTCCCAACTGATCACTCATTTGTTGGAGTCCAATTCTACAATTATAGAAGAATAAAAACGTTATTGGATGAAAGTTAATGTTGAGAAAGCATCAAATTACACGTTTATCACGTGTGTAATAATAATAATAGTAAACTGACGTCATCCAAACGCGTCTGAAACATCATGATCTCAGGATATCTATAGTACATCAAACATTCATCTCATCAGGAGAATAACCGCATCTCACACACCTGTTAGCACTAGCCTGTTAGCATCGTCCCGTCAGTAACAGTCGCTCAGGAGTGTGCTCTGTCTCATATTTACCTGTAGAACCGGCCAGCTGTGAAGAACCGCTCTCACTCCAGCCGTGAAGAGCTCACGTGAATGGTTAGAAGCCGCCATGTTGGATCTGACAGACTCAAAGAGTCGAGTGAAGAAACGGATCCGGATCAGACAGAAAGAGTCGAGTGAAGAAACGGAAGAAATTTCCCCCTGGGGATGAATAAAGTATACATCTATCTATCTAATTTGAGTCAATGACTGATGAATTATTTATTAATTAAATATAAATTATATACATACATACATACATTATTATTATCATTAACCAAAGAGACTAACAGGAGACTCGTTCTATGAGCTGCTTCTCACCTACAGAGAAACTGAAACTCACTCTATCAGCTGTTATGGT